ATGGAGATCCCACCAGATGGACTTGAACCAGTGTCCAGTCTACAAAGAGGAGGGTCAACACAGAGGAAACATCTCATTCATGCTTCCAAGCTAAGCCAGCCATGGTTGAGCAGGACCTTTGACTTATTTTCACATAGGCAGAACTGGTGAAAGAAAGGAGCCAGGGGCTCCTCCCAAGCCCATGTGACCCTTGAGGAACAGATCCTCTGACGACCTTAAGAGTAAAAATAAATTGGTTCATCTGGACCAACTGTATGGCCTTAAACACCCAAAAGGAAAGTATAACCAAAGATTAAAGGGGCAATATAATTTTTTAATAGTCCATATGCATAGCTAAAGGCTACGTAACAAGCAACAATGCCAGAGAGGCAATACCTTCTTTTGGTTCTAAAGTTTCATATAAAGATCTATGCTAATTGTTGGAAACCTAGAGAGCATAGGTGGAAAAAAAATATGCTGATCTAAAATTGCCATTTCATTAATAAAGAGCAAGACAAATAATAGGGGTAGAGGAAGAAAAAGAAGAAGATGTGTGATGAATATATGATAAACATTGCCATTTGCCAAAAAGGAAGCCAACAAATGCTATTTGCCTTTTTAAAGCAACAGCTATTGATCATTTGTTTGGCTTTATTATTAGAACAAAAATCGACATAGTCAAATGAAGTATTTATCATTCAAAGCATTAGAGGAAGAGAACAAAGAAAAGACAATGCAAAGTGGCAGACTGTTGGCTAGACTACTCGAGTACAGTGCACACTGTAAGTACTTAGTTGCTTAGTCAGTGAGGGAGCTAGTTATCTATTTAAGGTAATAAAAAGTTAGTCATAAGTTAGAAAAGTGTCCTGTGTTCAGAAACAGTACAAGTATTAATATTTATCTTTAGATAAAGAATTGTGAAAACTTTCAATATTTCCTTAGTAGCTTTCACTTTTCTACAATGAACAAATGTTACTGTTTCATTAAGAAGAAAATAATAAGTACATCCTTTTTCCTGGTTTTGATTTTTAGTTTTTTGAATAGCATTTTTATTGATTTTTTGAGAGCTTCATGCAATGTATTTTGACCATAAATCCGTTAAATTTATGCCACTAACTATTTTCTTGGAAAGTCAGGACAAAACCCTCCCACCAAAGTCAGTGAGACCTTGACAGGTGAAGATGGGGGAGGAGGTCTGAATATGATCAAAGTACATGTATGAAATTCTCCAAGAATCAATATAAATACATATTACTGATAAATAAATAAAAAGAAAAAAGAAATGCCTTACTGCACCCCATAAATATGTGCAATTGTGCCAGTTACAAGGGGAAAGTATTTTATAAGAAGAGGAAAATCTGGCCGAGTGTGGTGGCGCATGCCTTTAATCCCAGCACTTGGGAGGCAGAGGCAGGTGGATCTCTGTGAGTTCAAGGCCAACCTGGTCTACAGAGTGAGTTCCAGGGCAGCTGGGGCTACAGGGAGACCCTGTCTCAAAAAGACCAAAAAAAAAAAAAAAAAAAAAAAAAAAAAAAAAAAAAACCCAAAAAAAGCAAAAGAAGAGGAAAATCTGTAAAAGTGTTTGTACCTGTGTCCTGAGTCATTCCAATATGGAAATTTTCTCCAGTGAATATTGTCTTTGAATCCACACAGGAGGGTGTGGACAGAGGTGTGACATAGGAAGCAACAGAAATGTGCCAGAAAAGAACCAGACAACACAATTCTAAGCATTGACATCATGGAGTATTTGAATTATGAAAACTATGTATGGAGAGGGAAAGTGTGGTTTACTTTGTAAAAACATCCATTCAACAAGATTGTAATGCTATAAAAATGTTTTTTAAAAAACTAATGAAGAAGGCAGAGTGTGGTGGTACAAGATCCCAGAACTTGGGAGGCAGAGGCAGGTGGATCTCTGTGAGATCCAGGATAGCCTGATCTACATAGAGAGTTCCAGGCCAGGTCACCTGGGGCTAAAGGGAGACCCTGCTCAAAACAAAACAAAAACATAAAAAAAGAAATACAGCTTTGTGTTTCTTTCCAGTATCTGAGTTTTTGCAATGTATATTACTTCAATTACTTTTTTTGGTTTATTTTGGAAGCAGGGTCTCATGTAGGTAGCCCAGGCTGGCTTCTAACTCCTTACCTAGCCAAGGATGACCTTCTGATCCTCCTGCTTCCACCAGCCAAATGTTTGTACTGGATTAGCTTTAGGATAGTTTAAAGCTTAAAGATAAGTCTCAATAGGAAGAAAACAAGATATGGAGAAGAAAGAGGGAAAAATGAAGTCTCTTCCTTTTCTAGGGAATACTGCTCACTGCAAAGCCACACTCCACCCCACAGACTTTCAAGCTGGACTTTGGGAGCTTGAACCGAGCACTGTTTTAGTCACTGCCTCATTTGATCTTTACTGTTCTTTCCTGTGTTGTCTCGGAAATCTGAAATTTCTTAGAACATCTGTGTCTTTCTCCTCGACCATTCTTTTAAATAAAACCTTTGAAAAGTTGTAGTAAAACGCACACACACATAACCTAAGATTTACCAAGAAGAGGAGGACAAGGAGGAGGGGGAAGGGAGGCAGAGGAGGAGGGGAGAAAGTTATTTTGAAACATAGGGAGTAAATTTTAGCAAATTTTAAAAAGAATTAATCAAGAATATTTAAAATTTTTACATGTGTGGATCCTTAATAAGTTTATATTTAACAGATAAGTCTCTTTTGTTGAAAAATTCAGTACTCAGGGCTGGAGAGATGGCTCAGTGGTTAAGAGCACTGGCTGTTCTTGCAAGAATCCGGGTTTGAATTCCAGCACCCACATGGCAGCTAACAACCATCTGTAACTCCAGTTCCAGGGAATCTGACACCCTCTTCTGACCTCCATGGGCACTGCACAACATGGGCACACTTACACTCATGCAAGCAATACACTCATACACATAAAAATAAATAAAACCCTTAAACTACAAGGTGAAGCTAAGTCTATACCTTAGTCTGCCAGGTATGAAATGTAAAGAAATTTGGTGAAAGGGTTTTTGAGAGTCTAAACCTACTCCTTGCACTGTAGTCTTTTAATATATTCATTTAACATTCCAATGCTGAGCCAATCAAGTCCGTGGCTAAGATGGCCTTGCACTCCCTTCTATTTTCTCTATGACCTAATCATGATGATCTTGTTCATGAGGGTTCTCCTTTGGTTCACAGGGGAACAGGGAACGAGTCTGTCAGGAGAACAGAGAGTGGAGCGGAGAGGTCGCAACATGCAGAGGTAAGTTAAATGGTGCCTGGTGGTCCCCAAAATGGTGCTGAGAATGCCGAATAGCAGTGTGCCTCCATTTTCTTTATGTACCCATTTTGTTATTTTATTTTATTTTTTGGTCTTTTGGAGAAAGGGTCTCCTTTAGCCCTAGCTAGCCTGGAATTCCCTATGTAGATCAGGCCAGCCTTGATCTTACAGAGACCTACCTGCCTCTGCCTCCTGAGTGCTGGGATTAAAGGCATACACCACCACGCCTGCCACCATTTTTTAATTTTAAAGAAAAACTTTCTCAAATGGACATACAAACTGTATGAGAGCACTTAGGCTTTTCTTCAAGGTCCTCAACCAATTAAGGGTCAAAAACCAGTGGTAGAGACTGATGATTAATTGGAATAGGGCATAAGACTGCTGACTCAGGGACACAGGTATTTTGTTTAGAACCCGGTTGCTGTGTTCATTTGCGTTTTTGTGCTGTTTTCTCCAAAGCGGCCACAAATGAGAAGATAACGCTGTCGCTTGTAGGTGGTGTAACTGGCCCATAGTGACATCATGTTTTAAGAGCTGTTGGGACATCTGTCAGAAAGATCTTTACATTTGAGTGGATGTTTCACTAACTCAGTTTATGAGAACAGTCAAGTTTGTTTGGTAACATGGGTTAATTCACATGCGTTATTTCCAGCATATGACCTATATTCTTCCTCTACCCAGATAACCAATATACACAGAGGCAGTGCTGTCAAGCCAATCCAAGTGTTTTGTTTTTTTTTGAGACAGGTTTCACTATGTAGCCCTGGCTGGCCTGGAACTCACTTATATAGACCAGGCTGGCCTCAAACTCACAGAGATATACCTGCCTCTGCCTCTGCCTCCTGAGTGCTTTTATTAAAGGTGTGCACCACCAGGCCCAGCTTGAAATTTTTATCTTTGGACAATCCTGGTGTGATCATCAAATTCTCAGACTGGAAGCACCTCTCAGATGATCTGAGTCAGATGAGCCACATCGGTCCCTTCAACTGACAAGTAAGTGAACAAGAAGAGGAAGAATTAGGAGAGGAAGAGACCTGCCCAAGAGCACAAAACGCTAGAGGCTGAGCTGGCGCTATGGACCCAAGAACTGAATCTTTCTTCCCTTTCTTTCAGTCATGTACTCAGAGGTAGATGAGTGAGATAGTGTCGTGTCTGTAAGAGCCTAAGCTTTAAAGGGATATTATATGTGCTTCAGTGGAGAATGATTTTCGTTCTCCAAACCTTGGGTAAGCATTATGTTGAAAAGTATTTTAAAATATGCAGTAACTGATAGGTAGAGAGTGGGCGGGAGTGAGCGGCGCAGATGGAGGAAGGCACCTAGGCACAGATGGAATTCTCAGCGGGATACAGATTTATTTCACACGGGGCACCTTTCCCTCGGGGAAGGGAAAGATGTCAGCGAAGGCAAAGATGGAAGGGAAGGGAAAGATGTCAGGGAAAGATGTCCGCCCACGGGTTGTGAGCTGGGACT